TGAATTAATCTATTTAGTCTTTATTTACTTGAATTTAGATTATTCTTCAAAAAAGTTTTAAAAATAAATTAACCCCCTCTCTTGATTAATTATTCTTGAACTATCACCAATAATATTTTAATTACCTAGAATATTGAATGCATAATTTAATTAATTTGAATATTGATTACATTAATGTATGAGTATATTAGGAAAAATGATAGTTAAAATTTATTATTTTAACTATATTAACTAAATTTTTTAGTATGTGTGAAAAGAAATATGACTATCTTTATGAGATGGAGGGAGTAATATTCTAATTTAGTAAAGTTAGACTAGACAGATTGATTAAAAATCACATAGAAAAAAATAATTTCTATCATATCGTCTAGTTTATAAATCATACCTAACACACAAAAACGCATGAATTTTGTTATATATTGCACTTCTTTAATCTTATTCAAACATTTTTGCTCGTATCAAATGATCGATCCATCGACGAAATGCAAATTGGTGAACAAGGATACTTTAAATTGACCACCCATTTTGAAGAGATATTGGGGGTGAAATGAAATCATTGTACTATAACAAAGTAGTTGTTAACCTTAATTAAATGAAATGATATAATGTTGTCTAGTGTTATGATACGACTCAAATCTTTCGAGTAGTGGATATTAAGCATTAGATTAGACAATTTGATTAAGAATCACATAGAAAAAATAATAATTTCTATTATAACATCTAGCTTATAAATTGTACCTAACACACAGAACCGATATGTTTGGTTTGGAATAGGCTAAATTTTCGCGTGAAACTCGCAAGCGTACGAAATCGTTGTATAAATAATAAGATTTGAGAGTTAAGAATATTATTCCCACTAGGAATAAGATCTAATTTGTAGTTTAATATCTATGATTAAATTTGAAGTTTGGTGATATCAAAAGAGTTGTGATTTGTTTGTTATTTATTCTAATTCTACTTGAAGAAAATGATAAAAAATTATTAAATCTAATGTGAATGTTTGTATTGGATTCATGTATCCCCATATTTCCATCTATTTCAATTCTCAATAATCATCATATTCAATTCATGCATTTTTGACAACCCATAAAGCTAATATATCAAATGCCCTCTTCCAAGATACATTAACATATGACTAATACAAGACGATCCTATTTTTAGTCCGAATTTATGTGAAAATCATGCATTTAGTTTAGATTATTAATAAAATTGCATGTATGAGAGAGATTATTCATAATTCTAACCACACATGTTAATTTTACCGCATTCTGAACTCATTGTGAGTATCTTACACTACAACAAATAACTAATTACTTAATTGGTGATCAAACAATAAGTACTGCAATGAGTATGCAAAATTAATCAAACAATAACACAATATTCCTAAATTAAAGTCTTGAATTGAAATAAATGAAAATATGGATCAAATATTTATCCAATACAATTGAAAAACCAAGCCAATTATCCTAATTATTAAACTATACAAGAAATATTAAAATACATCACCCTAATCGAGAAATAATGAAGAAAGTGGAGAAATCCGATTTTTTGGCCCGAATTTTGACTTTGGATTAAGGACTTTCAATGAACTTGTATAATTTGCATTTAATCGATAATTGTATCTAGTTCTTCGCCTCCAATATACATAGAAGAATTTTAGGGGTAAGGGAGGCCCCCACGTTTTGGACGGCTTATGGTGTATATATATAGTGCCAAAATATTGCATACCAAAAGTTTTCAAAACAAAATAAGTAAACACATTTTTTCCTTAAATTTGAACCATACGTACGCATGGTTCGTTTGGGGGCGTACACACAATAGATTCCAAATAGCCTCAGTCAACCCAAATAAGGTTTGAGTGTACACATGGCGTGCAGGCCTATGTGTACACATGATATTGCCATTTTTGGACCAAATTGAATGTTGATCTCAGAACTTTCTCAAGTGTGTATTTTGGTCCTTTTTGACAATTTTTTCATTCCGTTGACTCTCTTCACCTCCAATTGACCCTTGACATTCTTGAATCACGATTTTATAGTCCGACACAACTATTGAACTATTGCATTTTAGTCCCCATAATTTAGATTTCACCATTTTTATTTTGTTTTCTCCAATTTTTCATCAAATCATGAGTTTTACCTATTAGACACATCATAACACAAATTAGACTATATTTCACTAAAAGAATTACAAAATTTATTATTTAAAACCTCGAATAAGTGTGTAAAATACACTTATTACTAAATATGACAACTCACATATGAATTTTGTTATATACTGCGCTTCTTTAATCACGGTTAGTCAAATTCACTCGTATCAAGTGGTTGATGCACCAATGAAATGCAAATTGGTGAACAAGGATACTTTAAATTGACCACCCATTTTGAAGAGAATTTGGGCAGAATCAAACATTGTATTATGACAAAGTTGTGGTTAACCTTAATTAAATGAAATGATAGCCTTGTTTGACAATCATTATTCTCAAACTCTTTTTTATATTCTTATTTTCAACCACACATGCACACACTAAAGTACTTTGCATGTAAATCTAAAACGTTTTCCTACTTTTTAACTATACATTTTCTTTAAAATTACACCCCCCCGCAACCCGTCCCTGAATAGGGGCATAATGTTGTCTAGAGTTACGATCCGACACAAATCTTCGAGTAGTGGATATTAAGCATTGCTGAACAATTTTTTTTCTATACGTAATGATAGATTTCCATATCTCGAAAAACAAAGCACAAATAAAATCAAGCTAAAACGAGAAAGATCTAAAAGCAAGAATAATATAGAATAGTTACAAGTTGCATATAGTGTTTCATTCTAAAATTGGCATGAATGCACTCAAGAGGATTGACATTATAATATTCTAAAACAGGAAAAAGATAATGAGAAATGACAACCATAAGCATTGCTTGCCTCTAAACAAACAAAAATGGACCACAAACATGTCTTGCAACATGACAACGTGGTTTCAAACACTATAGACTTGCATAAAAGTTGTGCCTTACTATCTTACCTTTATTCTTGGGTCGTGCCTTAACTATAGAGGATTCTGCTGTCCTAACAAATTATAGTTTCAGATATATAGGTTCGACTATTAATGAAACACACAGAATTGAAGGAAATGTAATGCATAAATGGTCGAATGGATCACAAAAGTGCTATGAGAAAATCTCAATAGTTCTACAAAGATTACTTAAGTGGTTATGGCACGTTTTTCCTAGATTCGAAGAGACTCTCGCTTTTGTACAGGTTTGAACTCGACAATAACATACAAAAGCATACTAGGTACACATTTATTTGTTAGAAAACAATGTTTGGAAGAAATCATATTGGTCTATTTTAGTGCTAGGAATCTAGGACTTTTAAGGCAAATCTAGATGTCACTTACTAGTTTCTAGACAAGCCTTTTAGGCTTTATATATTATAATTGGTCCATTATTGGGTTTAATGATGATGGTCGGCTTAAAGAATTACAAATATAATAATATATACTATTATTTTATGATGTCCACTTAGACTTTCTCACACCACAAACAACTTTCGAGTCCGATCTGAAGTCATTCTTTACTATGAAAGTATACGCATGAAGTCAATGGTTACATTTTTAGTTTTTAAAGTATAACTTGTTGCCTACGACGTTGTTAAAAAGTATTTAATTTGTCATTTGTGTACGTAGTTTCTAACTAAACGGCTCTTTATTCAAAATGAAAATGTTGAATTGTTTGAGTCATATTTTTACAACCATCTTGATCTATATTTGTGTATGTACTTATGAATTTGAAAATAAAAATGTTGCTAGTTCTTCCCCTCATGTACATCCGATGAAATGCAATATTAGAGAAAAAAAGCTAAATTTGTAAAACGATGCCCAAATATAATGCATTCTTAACATATAATTTCCTAAGATATGAAATCATATCTTTTGAAAGTACAACAATCTCAACACCGCTTACATTAAAGTAATACTTTTCAAAATACATTAATTTTAACTAAACATTTTGTAAGATTCTAACAGTTTTATCTCGATATCATCAGACCAGGTAAAGGTACCATGTTCAAATATACAAGCAAGATGATGATCAAAGATGGTTTTTGTTAAAATCCAACCTATTGAAGAAGAAATTGATTTTTTTCCCCTCCTTGAAAAGTAACAAAGCAAGAAAAGAACAAAAATTAGGCAGATTAGGTTACTTTTGAACTTGCATTTGGTGGTAGAGCCAAAAATAAAGGGGAGCCTGCCTAATATGGATTCTGACGCTAGCTTGTGCAACCAATGGAAAAAACGTCATTTCAGCAATATCGAGATCTGTTGTGTGAATCAGATCAATGCTCTCTGGACATTTGAAGAAAAAATGTAAACTAAGTAAGAGTAAAAGTTTATGGCATTTCAAGTAGTTTTATCTCGATATCGTTATAGCAGTCAAATGCACGTTATCGCCCATTTATAAACAGTGAATTCAAATCATACATGACGGTTCGTCTTGAAGATATGAGAACGAATAAATACAACTCGCTCTTCTTTATAAAAGACTTTTCGATGGAATTGTTTAACACCCACACATGTAATTAGCAACTTGGTGGGACCCTAAAATTAGAATTCAATTTGTAGTATCAGAAAATAGTGTATTCACACAACATATAGAATCAACTTCGGCTAGAAATGAGGTCATTATAAAGCTAAACAAATGTGGACAAACTGGTGGTTCTTCTGAGTGCTGTGAAATCAACCCTTTCTTGTACCTATTCTCACAAACAAAAAGGATTAGCTAAGGAAATCCTGTATGAATGCACTTTCATTATGAACTCCTGTTGATATAGCAAATAAATAATCCCATCCTTCCCTTTAAATTCTCTTCCCCATTACTCATTTTCTTGAGGCTATATTCTACAGCCCTTTATTCGACTTTTCGCATATCTCAGGGCTCGACTGCATGAAGAACTCACGATTTCATTGTTTACACAAACAATACACTATGGTCCTGAGATTTCTAATGGTCTTCTTTGTTAGTTTTACAATCAGTCGAAAGAACCTTCCTACACCAATGTTACATTCATCATTAGCAGATATGGCCCTTAGTGGGCACTTAAGCTTTGAAAAGAATGAACATGCAGCAAAAGATTTTGGGAATATATACCATTTCATGCCATCAGCAGTTTTATACCCAAAATCGGTTTCTGATATTTCCTCAACTATAAAATATGTTTTCGAGATGGGTACCTCTTCAGAGCTAACGGTCGCTGCCCGAGGCAATGGCCATTCCCTGGCAGGCCAGGCACAGGCCTACCAAGGAGTGGTTATCAATATGGAATCACTTCGGGAACCAGAAATGAGTTTTCACGCTGAGGAACCGCCCTATGTTGATGTTTCTGCTGGTGAACTTTGGATAAATATTTTGCATGAGAGCCTTAAACGCGGGCTAGCGCCAAAGTCATGGACAGATTATCTTCATCTCACTGTTGGAGGGACTTTATCAAATGCGGGAATCAGCGGGCAAGCTTTCCGACATGGTCCCCAGATCAATAATGTTTACCAACTACAGGTTGTCACAGGTTTGTCATCAGTTCATGCAAAGAATTTTCTCACAAATTTGAAGTATCACATAGAAGAAGAATTCCTAGGTGATCATATAGTTAAGGTAAAGATCATTTTTCTCTACATTGAAGGTTCGTTTGAACTCATTTGATCTTGTTTTGCCTTAGAATTTCATCTGTTTCATCTATACTGAATTTATGAAGTGCTTCTGTGGTAGAACGCACTCTTACTATATTTGAAAAACAAGCTAAATCTTGTTCATTATACTATCCAATTGTGTTTGAATACTGCCTGCCAAACATGCTCTTTTTACGCATTTAGTAAGGTGAAATAGACATTGGAGGACAGTATTAAGGAAGAGAAAGATGTCAAGTCCTGTCCAATTATACATATCAACATGCCCATTAGAACATGACAATCAGAAGTGCAGATATATATGTCCATCTCATTAGTTCTCTTTTCTGCAGGCAAGGGAGATGTAGTAACATGTTCAGAAGAGCAGAATACTGACCTATTCTATGGTGTACTTGGAGGACTGGGACAATTCGGCATAATCACCCGGGCTAGAATTGCTCTAGAACCTGCACCCAAAATGGTCAATAATTTTCACTAGCTTATAAACAGGATTGAAATTACAAAAAAGAAAATCGAAATGATAACATAAGCTATGTCTTCTCACAGGTCAAATGGATCAGAGTACTGTATATAGACTTCTCTATATTTTCCAAGGACCAGGAGCATCTAATATCTTCAGAAATGTCTTTCGATTATATAGAAGGGTTTGTCATAATAAATCGAACCGGATTATTAAACAATTGGAGATCCTCATTCAATGCCAAAGACCCTCTTCAAGCCGACCAATTCAATTCAGAAGGAAGAATTCTATACTGCCTTGAAGTTGCCAAATACTTTGATCCAGGCAATTCTGATCTTGTTAATCAGGTGGGACATTTAACAATCCTCCTTTGGATCATTTCAATGCCTTGCGCTCATTTTTTTCATCTATGTTTCTCATACACAGAACGTTGACACCCTCTTGTCAGAACTGAATTACATTCAGTGCACACTCTTTCTGTCAGAAGTCTCTTATGTAGATTTCCTGGATAGAGTGCACGCCTCTGAAATAAAACTCAGGGAAAAAGGGTTATGGGAAGTTCCTCACCCCTGGTTAAATCTTCTTATCCCTAGAAGCGGGATTCATGAGTTTGCTCAAGAAGTCTTCGGAAATATTCTTGCAGATACCAGCAACGGTCCTGTACTCATTTACCCAGTAAACAAATCAAGGTACCACTCCAACCTCCTTACAGCAAAGAATTCTTTTTTCCTATATGTTACCTAATTTTTTGTTTCAACATGTCGTATCATAGGTGGAGAAATAGGACATCCATGGTTACACCAGACGAGGATGTTTTCTACCTAGTGGCATTTTTATCATCTGCAATACCATCATCTACCGGAAAAGACGGGTTAGAACATATTTTAACACGAAACAAAAGAATTCTTCGCTTTTGTGAAGGTTCCCGTCTTGGGGTGAAACAATATTTGGCCCATTATAGCACTCAGAAAGAGTGGAAAGCTCACTTTGGCACTCAATGGGAAGTCTTTTCTCAGCACAAATCTACCTACGACCCTCTGGCAATCCTAGCTCCAGGTCAAGATATTTTCCAGAAAGCAAAGGCCTTCAGACAACAAGGACCTCAAAGATAAAAAGAACTTGGTATATCGAGACTCAAGGCACATAAATTTTTCGTAAGACCTCTAGTTAGTATATGGGGAAATTTTGTACCTGTGGTCTTTGCAATGTAGCAACATACATGTAGTTGCTAGTTCGAAAATTTCACTAAAACGTACAGAGAAAGGTGCTCTCGCAACATTATGATCAGATTATTAAGAGACATGGGAGTATATGCTATAAAAGTAATTATGATTTTTGGAAAGGCATTTTAGGCCAGGAGTTTGATCAGAATCCTTATAGGTTTGTCGAGGGGAACGAATTTAGCTATATATATATATATATATATATATACAGAAATGATCTAATGAGCACCGGTGCTCATCTTATCCTAAGCACCGATGAGTTGGCACATTAATTCATTGGTGGATTGGAACTCACAAAATCTTTATCCACCAATGAATTAATGT